CTCTCTCTCTCTCTCTCTCTCTCTCTCTCTCTCTCTCTCTCTCTCTCTCTCTCTCTCTCTCTCTCTCTCTCTAGCAGTCGCCCCTCCTGTAGCAACGCCCGCTGTACTTATCACTTCGTTCGCCGCGATGTCCTGATCAACGGGCCCTCGTGAACCCGAATTAGAGATTGTGCCAGATTGTGGAGGTTTGAAGTTGGGCGAGGTCAAAGCAAACAGTAAGTGGCAGAGGAGGAGGACGAGTCACGCTGGGTTTGGCCGTATGCATGAGAGGGGGAGAAAAGCAACACGTACCTGACCGCCATGATGGCCGTGTACTGAGTGATCCGACCCGACTGGCCAGGCTGCTGCTATGTTTTCTAGTACGACTGTCCAGACCATCATATGCTTCTTGTGCTGTTGTGTTCCCTGCTATTTCATACTTCAGGCCTTGCAGGTTTGTCCCAGATGCTACGTTGGTGCGGCTGGTTGCGGTCTGCCACAAGCCTGTGTAGCGGGCATTGTAGTTAGTGTCAGGTGCGCTCCGCCACAAGCCTGTGTAGCGGGCACTGTAGTTAGTGTCGAGGCGCGGACTGCGTTTGACCTATTGTATGAAGGCTAGCACTGATCACTGAGGTATTGTCGCCACCATTATTGGCTGCGGCACCTTGTTGCATGCCACAGCCGGCCGGTTGATAGCCATTGCAACCTGCGGCGTGGCGGGAGTTTGGTCAGAAAGAGAAGGCATTGAGGTTTGGAGGACGTAACTGACTTGTTGAAGGGAGGGAGATAGTGTTGTGATCGGGGAGGGAGTTAGAGGAACAACATTTCGGCAATCTGACTTCGGAGGTTTGACCAAGCTGCGCAGACTTGGCCGCCATTGTGGGGCCCTCGGCGATTGAAGATAACGAGGCCCTCTCCTGCGAGTCTGAGAGCAACCTCCTCGGATCTGAGAGTCTAAGACTTTCTACTTCTGCCTTTCTCACTCTAAGTCTAGTCTATTGGTTTTGAGAGAAAGGCGGCAGGCGGGATTGCAACCCGTAATCCGCGCCAAGGCCTCTGTGGGAGGTTCGCCCCATCGATTGCGGGAGCTCTGCCGGGACTCAAGAGGAGTCCTGGAGGCAGGGAACTGAGAGGTAATCATTGCTCCCCCCTTATAAATCCTGTTATAGCCCGTATATGTACTTCTCTCTATGTGTTGACTGAGTATACTGCATGCACCCCTACTTTGACCTTGGTTTGACTGGCAGGACACAACTCAGACTAAACAAAAGAATATGTGTGCAATTTCAGCTTCAGTTTTGTTGATTGCCTGAATGTAGATTGTGAACACAAAGGGTTGCATCTGGAGGAAGGGTGGGCGAAAGATGATCTTGCCTGAGCCTGAATGGGTCCTCTGGGGTCAGACCAGTTCCATAAGATTGGAGGGCCTGACCGCTCTGTTTATTTCTGAATAGCATGGAGGGTCAGACCAACTCCATAAGATTGGACGGTCTGACTTCTCTTAATTGTGGGGGTTTGACTGTGGTTGATTTTTCAGGGATCAAACCAGTACCATAAGATTGGAGGGTTTGGTTGCCATGTTTGATTGGGGTTTGTTCTGTTTCTTTTGTTCTTGATCAAGGAGGTCTGAGCAAGCCCATAAAATTGGACGGCTCAGCCCCTTCCTGTTTCATTCTGGGGGGGTAATTCGTGTTGAGGGCAGGGCGTGCCCATAAGATTGGACGGCCTTGGACTCACGCCATAAAAAGTGGATCAGAGAGAAACAAACCTTGCAAAGGACCAGATATGTTCCATAAGATTGGACGGTCTGGCCCAATGCCTCGCACATGCTGGAACCCAAAAGGTTCAATTTTGATTATATTTTATACTATCCTATGTATGAACAGGCTAGCCAGGCATGGGTTCCATAAGATTGGGCGGTCTGGCTTTAGCTTATCATAAAATGAAGAGAGTATAACTAAGAGTATAATTGAAGGTAACCCTGGGCAGGCCAGACCTTGTTCTAAGATGAACGGTTCGGTCCTATGCCCAGCTTTTGAACACCAAGTTCAGAGAGGTATATATAAGTTGGATATTAAACAGTTCTGGGCGACTAAGCCTTGTTCTAAGATGAACGGCCTGGTCGTATGCCCAAAAAGAAGAGAGAAGTAGTTGTGCAACCTGTTCGTGTATACTCAATGGCTGAGCCAGGCAAGTTCCATAAGATTGGACGGCTTGACTTTATGCCCTATGTAAGTTGGGTATACGGGGATAAAGCATTGAGGAGTTACGAACTATTGTTTGCAAAGATTGACTTGGGGTGGCGAGAGTCCTTAACTTTGTGGTTTGGTCTGCATGAGGCTGAGTGAGCCTACTACTTGGTTTGAGTGTCAGGTTGATAGGTAGTTGCTTTAGAGGCTCGCCTCGTGCTAGAGCGATAGGAGTTAGGTCAATTCCTGTTTTTTCTGAGCTAAGTTTTTCTTACTTAGATCGATTCTCGCATTTTCTGGGATCTTTTGTTATACTTGGCTTTGTATAAATTTTGGTAAGCCACTTTCTCTACGGGAAGCGCTGCCGAAATTTCTACAAATCCGGGGAGTTAGTCAATTCTTGACTTCTCAAAGTTCA